CCTGGTCTCCAGGGCCTGGTGGGGCAGATTTCAAATATGGGGGTGAAGCTTGGGTGGACAAATGACTTAAACACATAATAAAAGTTCCCTTTTTTTCATTTAAAATATGGAAAATAAAACTAAAATGTATTTACATTTCAGATTAGTGAGAAAAGATTGGAAAAAACGTCACATTAGTAATGTAACACATTTCTCTAGTATATGAATTGATTTAAATATTTCGTAGTACAGTTAGACAACATGTCAAAATAAAAATGCATAAAACTTTGATCCAGCATTTCTGGTCCCAAGAATTTAGTACACAGGCACCCAAAGAAATATATTAGTTTAATTCAGCATTGTTTGTATAATAGTATACATTCAGAAACTATTTAAATTTTCATCACTAAGCAGCCAGTTTTATAAGTTGTGGTGCAGCCATTAAAGTTATGTAAACTGAAATGTAATCAACATCAAGACATTTTCACAAATGAGTGGCCTAAAATGACACACTGGATCAAATGGATTTAGTTGATGTCTTCAGAGCATTTCACCCCAAAACAACAGACTATACATTCTTTTAAAATGCACATGGAACATTTTCTAGGATGGCCACATGTTTGGACAAAACAAGTCTCAATAAATTTAAGAATATTGAAATCATATCAAGTATCTTCACTGACCATAATAGTATGAAACTAGAAATCAATCACAAGATAAAAACTGAAAAACAAAGACTTGGAGGCTAAGTAACATTTCACTAAAAAATGAATGGGTTAACAATGAGATCAAGGAAGAAATCAAAAGATTCCTTGAAATAAATGAAAATGAGAACAGCCCCAAATCTATGGGACACAGTGAAAGCAGCACTAAGAGGGAAATTCATAGCATTACAGTTCTATCTCAAGAAACAAGAAAAATCTCAAACAGTCTAACTTTATACTTAAAGCAACTAGAGAAAGAAAAACAAAGCTCAACATGAGTAGAAGGCGGGAAATAATAAAGATCAGAGCACAAATAAGTGGGATGGCATCTAAAAAAAAAGTGCAAAAGATCAATGAAACCAAGAGATGGTTATTGGAAAAGATAAACAGGATTGACAAACCTTTAACCAGATTCATCAAGAAAAAAAATNAAAGATCAATGAAACCAAGAGATGGTTATTGGAAAAGATAAACAGGATTGTCAAACCTTTAACCAGATTCATCAAGAAAAAAAATTGAGCCCGGCCGGGCATGGCTCAGCGGTTGAGCGTCGACCTAGGATCCAGGTGATCGGGGTTCGATTCCCGGTCAGGGCACATGCCCGGTTGCGGACTCCATCAATGACTCTCTCATCATTGATGTTTCTATCTCTCTCCCTCTCCTTTCCTCTCTTTGAAATCAATAAAGATATATTAAAAAAAATAATAATAATTGAGAGAGGACCCAAATAAATAAAATCAGAAATGAAACAGGAGAATTAACAACTGACTCCATAGAAATACAAGGGATTGACAGAAAATATTATGAAAAACTCTATGCCAACAAATTGGACAATCTGGAAGAAATAAATTCCTAGAAACATCCAGTCTTCCAAAACTGAATCAGGAAGACTCAGAGAATCAGAAATCTGATAAGACTGATTATAACTAATGAAATTGAAGTAGTAATCAAAAACTACCAACAAACAAAAAGTCCTGGACCTGATGGCATCACAGGTAAATTTTACCAAACTGAAAGAAGAACTCACACCTGTCCTTCTCAAACTATTCAAAAAAATTCAAGAAGAAGGAAAACTCCCAAGCTCATCTTATGAGGTGTGCATTATCCTAATTCCAAAACCAGATAAGGACACTGCAGAGAAAGAGAATTATAGGCCAGTATCCCTGACAAACATAGATAGTAAAATCCTCAACAAAACATTAGCAATCTAGATCTAGCAATACATTAAAAAGATCATATACCAATCAAGTGGGCTTTATTCTGGGGAAGCAAGGTTGGTACAATAGCTGCAAATCAATAAATGTGATACATCGCATAAATGGAAGGATGAAAATAGCATGATTATATCAATAGATGCAGAAAAAGCATTTGATAAAGTCTAGCACCCATTTATAACTCTCAGCAGTGGGAATAGAGGGGACGTATCTCAACGTAATAAAGGATGTGTGAGAGACCCACAGCCAATGTCTTACTCATTGGGCAGTAACTAAAAGTGTTTCCCTAAGATCAGGGAAGACAGGTGTCCACTGTCACCACTCTTATTGAACAGAGTGGTGGAAGTTTTAGCCATAGAAGTCAGACAAGAAGTAGAAATAAAAGGCATCCAAAATTGGAATGGAAGAAGTAAAACTGTCATCATTTGCAGATGACATGATACTGTATATAGAGAACCCTAAAGATTCCACTAAAAAACTACTAGAACTGATAAATGAATTCAGTTGGCAATCAGGATACAAAATAAATATCCAGAAATTCATTGCATTTTTATACACCAATAATGAACTATCAGAAAGGAAAACTAAAAAAAATCCTTTTCACAATTGCTTCAACAAGAATAAAATATCTGGAATAAATTTAACCAAGGATGTAAAAGACCTGTACTTAGAAGACTGTAAGACACAGAAGAATTTGAGGAAGACACAAATAAGTGGAAGCATATACCATGTTCCATGTTGGTGGATAGGAAGAATTAATAGCATTAAAATGTCTATATGACCCAGAGCTGTCTACAGATTAAATGCAATTCCTGTTAAGATACCAGTGGCGTATTTCACAGAACTTAGGACAAATGTTTCAAAAATTTGTATGGAACCACAAAAGACCCCAAATAGCAACAGCAGTCTTGAGAAAGAACAACAAAGTTGGAGGAATCACCCTACCTGATATCAAATTATATTACAAGGCCATAGTAATCAAAACAGCGTGANTCAAAACAGTGTGATACTGGCATAAAAACAGACATAGAGCCTGGCTGGTGTGGCTCAATTGTTGAGTGTCACCCATGAACCAGGAGGTCGAGGTTGGATTCCCAGTCAGGGCACATGTCCAGGTTCTGGGCTCTATCCCCAGTAGAGGGTGTGCAAGAGGGAGCCAATCGGTGCATCTCTTTCATTATTGATGTTTCTATCTCTCTTGCTCTCCCTTCCGCTCTCAGAAACAAAAAAACAAAACAAAAAAACCCCACAGACATACAGAACAATGGAAAAGAATAGAAAGCCCAGAAATAAGTCCATGCCTTTATAGTTAATTAAATTTAACAAAGGAGGTAAAAACATAGGATGGACTAAAGGTAGTCTTCAATAAATGGTGTTGGGAAAACTGGAGAGAGATGTGCTAAAAAATGAAATTAGCCCAGCTGGGCTTGGCCCAGAAGTTGAGCATCAAACTAGGGTCCAGGAGATTGCAGTTTGATTCTCAGGGCACATGCCCANGACATACAGAACAATGGAAAAGAATAGAAAGCCCAGAAATAAGTCCATGCCTTTATAGTTAATTAAATTTAACAAAGGAGGTAAAAACATAGGATGGACTAAAGGTAGTCTTCAATAAATGGTGTTGGGAAAACTGGAGAGAGATGTGCTAAAAAATGAAATTAGCCCAGCTGGGCGTGGCCCAGAAGTTGAGCATCAAACTAGGGTCCAGGAGGTCGCAGTTTGATTCTCAGGGCACATGCCCAGGGTTGTGGGCTCGATCCCCAGTTGAGGGCGTGCAGGAGGCAGCCGATCAATAACGACTGTCTCATCATTGATGTTTCTATCTCTCTCTCTCCCTCTCCCTTCTTTATCTCTCAAATCAGTAAAGGTATTTTTTTTTAAAAAAGAAATTAGACCACCTTCTTACATCACATACAAGTATAAACTCAAAATGGATTAAAGGTCTTAAATTTTAGACTCAGTACCGTAAAAATCCTTGAAGAAAACATAGGCAGTAAAATTGTGGACATTTCTCGTAGTAATATTTTTTTCTGATATACCTCCTCGGGCAAGGCAAATAAAAGAAAAATTAGACAAATGGAACTACATCAAACTAAAGAGTTTTTGCACAGCAAAGGAAACCATCAACAAGAAGAAAAGATAACCCCCTGAATAGAACTTATTTGCCAATGATACATATGATAAGGGGTTAATACTGAAAATTTATAAAGAACTTATAAAACTCAAGACACACGCACACACACACAAACACTGAAAGGATTCTGTTAAATAGTGGCCAGAAGACATGAATAGGCATTTCTCCAGAAGACGTACAGGTGGCCAGTAGACCTATGAAAGGTGGTTCAACGTCAGTAGTCCTCAGAGAGATTAAAGTTAAAAGCACAGTGAGGTATCACCTGACACCTGTCAGAATGACTGTCAATGGGCCAACAAGTGTTGGCGAGGGTGTGGACAGAGGGGAACCCTCTTTGCAGTATTGGTGGGAATGCAGATGGGTGCAGCCACTGTGGAAAGCAGTATGGGGTTACCTCAAAAAAAAAATTANGGGAATGCAGATGGGTGCAGCCACTGTGGAAAGCAGTATGGGGTTACCTCAAAAAATAAAATGGAACTGCCCTATGATCCAGTGGTTCCTCTTCTGGGAATTTATCCAAAGAAACTTGAAACACTAATTAACGAAAATATGTACCCCTGTGCTCGTAGCAGCGTTATTCACAATCGCCGTGATCTGGAAGCAGCCCAGGTGCCCATCAGTAGATGGGTGGATAAGACAGCTGTGGGACAGTCACACCGTGGAATGCAACTCTGCTGTAAAAGGGAAGGATCTCTTACCCTTTGGGACAGCATGGAGGGGCCTGGACACGACATGCCAAGTGAAACAAGCCGGTCGGAGAGAGACAAGTACCACGGGATCTCCCTCATCTGCGGAATCTAATGAACGAACTGAGCTACGGCGCAAAATAGAGACAGACGCAGGTAGAGAGCAGGCAGGGAGCTCGGGGCGCGAGGAGGGGGTTGGGGGGGCTGAGCAGAAGAAGAAAACAGAACTCAGGGACCTGGACAGGCGTGGTGACTGCTGTGTGGAGCACTCGAGGTGGAGGAGGGCATGGAGGAGATGGAAGGTGATGGGAAAACTAAAAAAGACAACGCATGGGTCAGATCTGATCATTCCACTGCAACTGCAACAGATTCCAAACATTTTGCTGCGGCCTTTAAGAATGACCGGACCTCTGTCTCCTTTTGTTTCCTCGGGTTTTTATTCGCTGTGTCCCGGCCACACCTGACTTCTTTCTCTCCCTTGAGTATTCCAAGCTCAGTGCCACACCAGGCCCTTTGTCCCTACTTCTCTTTCTGGAACTCTTCCCACGTTTTTGGTGTAGTGTCTCCATAGTTCAAATAGTTTAAGAGAGAGGGTTACCCTCCCTTCATGTTTTCCTTAAACTTTTCACTTTCTTCATAACTGTACTAAGTTTAATTTCAAACATTTGTTATGTTTTTAAATCTGATTCCACTAGAATATAGTGTCCAGCAGCATGTCCATCTGGTTTACTGCTATATGTTCAACATCTATAATAGTGCCTGGTACATAGTAGGTGGTACTCAGTAAATATTTGTTGAATTAACGAAGGAATGAGTGGAAGGTAACTGGAGGTTAAAAGATTCATAGAACTAGTTACATGTATCAATAAGTAATAGTAACTTTTTATAATATATGTACTATTTTTATTTTTCAGGATTAATTGGAATTAATTGGATTAAATGTCAGGTAAGTGTTTGTGAATAAAGTTTTAATATGATTTGTTTTCAAATGTGAATTGTGTGATTGCTTTCCTTAAAAATAGGAGTTTATTTCATTTTGAAGTTTTTTATTATTTAGTATTTGGAGAGGGTATGTTCATGTATATAGACGCATTTATACATGTGAACATTTTTTTTCTATCTTTGACAAAAAGGATTAAAAGGGAATTATATTGGCACATATGTACTAAAAGACCTCTAAAGTGTGTGGAGAAATTTGGGTAAAGGAAAAATAAAGGTAGGAAAGTAAGTCTGCAAAGAGAGGTAGTAGTAATAAAAGCCTGGGTGGCAGCCGCCTTCACAGAGGGGGGCTCAAAAGTAGCGCCTGCATTTTCAAGCGCCATAAGGGTAACGTAAGGAGAGAAACACCGCGTTTATGGGATGTGTGTGTGTGTGTGTGTGTGTGTGTGTGTGTGTGTTTTTAGATAAAAGTCTATTAGTTAAGAGATTCATAGTGAGTCCAAGGAGAAGGTTCTCTGATTTCAACAAGAGGACAGGTTTTAACATGAAAAGTGGCTTCAGTACTGCCTTGAAGCAATTACAGTGACTTAGGTCTTTTGGGAAGAATAGGGTGGAAGTGTGAGTCCCTGGAGATGTAGACTAAGCCGCCTCTCATTGACCTGTGTGTGGCACCGCCGGCTTTTAAACCGCTTAGTATTCATCATGCTCTGTTTTGAATTTACCGAGTATTGTGTTACGTTTTGAATTTATTTAAACAGCCATTTTCCAAAGTGAATTCAGGAAAAATCTGATTTACTGTATATCTAACTGTACATATTAGTAAAAAGGATTTTTGACACTGTGAAAGGAATTTATGTAGGTAGGAATCAGCATCCGCCAGCTAGTAGCATGAAAGCTCGTTGCTTTGATCATAGCACGGTGGTTTAATATTTTCTTTTTAAATCCATCTTCAGCCTGGAAATTCATCAAATATATTAATAGGTTGATGTCTATTGAACATATGAGTTATGTTTTTATATGAAATATAAGTGTATTTTATATTGGTTATATGAATTGGTGCATGCCAACAAGAAAAAAATGAATGCATTCTGTTATATTATCAATTCTGTTATAAATCATGTCTCCTGTCTCTCCCCTAAGGTTTAGGCCCCACAGCCCCTGAGCAACAGGCAGATGAGATGGAAAAGGAATTAAAGTCACCCGATCCAAGGCCTGATGCCCCTCCTGACTACAATTCCCATTTTGTGCAAGGTACGTTACATATTCAGAAAGGCTCTTTCCTCTCTCCAGACAATGATAGTAATAGTTAAGATTGCTTTTAAAAATAATTAGGGGGGTGAGTAGAGATGAAAGGAGGCATAGAGAGGATAAATGGTGATGGAAATAAAATAAATTAATTGAGTAGTTCAATAAATATTAAGTACCTACAGGCTGCCAAGTGCTTTACTAGGTGTAAATCAAGAACATACTCTTACCTTCATAGGCTGTGTAGGCTACTGGGGAAGGAAGCGGTGCAAACATCGATGCCACTCTCTCCGCTCGGTTATGGAAATGTGAGGAGAACGTTGTAGGGGCGCAGGTGACAGTAACTGACTACCAGAGATCTGAGGGGATCCCTGACTGAGAAGATCATTTTGTGCTGGCACAACAGGTTCTCAAACAAAAGGGAGGGGGCAGGGACCATGGGTGGCTGAAAGAGCAATGTATCCGAAAGCATAGGTCATGAAGGCCTGGTCTGAAGCATGCAGGGCACAAACGGCAAGGGACATGGAGGTGAGAGGCCCTGCCTGCTCATTCAGGAGCTCGTAGTTCTGCAGGTGTTCCAGTCTCAGTGCTCGCTGGTGGTGACTGAGGAAAATGGATACACATACTGCTAATGCAAATCTGAGGTACAGTCTTTTTAGAAAGTGATTTTGCAAGGAATAAAATCTTTAAAATTAAAAAGATACTTCTAAGGAAATAGTTTTCATCTGGATTGTATTCAAATACATTTTAATGATTTAGAAAATGAGAGATAAGGTTGTAGCAGTATTTCTTCAGACGTATATTTATGTACATTTAGAGGTGGAATCATTGAGTTAGGCTGTGAAAGGGCAGAAGAAACCCTGATATCCACAGGAGATGCCAGAGATGTGTATTGTTTTGGCCCTAAATGTATGATCCATGGAGCTCAGGTAGCCTTTGCCCTGCAGTGTTTTCTGGAAACAGCAGGGCTTATTTTTCCCCTTTCCCTCATGTACATGCATATTGTGTGGCTCTGATCCAGTATAACCCCCATAACTGGCTTGGCCCAGCTAAAGCGAAGATTTTGACAATCCAAAATTATAATCTTAGTGTATCTGATTATTTCATTATATTTTATTTCAGTGACTATCAACACAATCTACATAATCTGTCTTATTTTTACCAGTCACTCTATCCAGGTACCTAGATTCTATTAGAACAGAAGTTCCACTATTTCTAAGACATAAACACTGGTTTTCAGTCATATTCTGGTCATCTGAGAAAGTGTTTATTCCTCAATATATAAAAAAAATTAAGAAGAGTGTAGGGGACATCCTTCAAATTAAATGACTAGATAAGCTGAAAAATACGATGATGCAGAGCATACAACTAATGAATTTTGTTATGAAATAGTAACAAAAATTTTCTGTGACCGCCACCTAGTGGCTGAACTATGTACTTTCTTATGGTGACAGATTCACATTAAGGAACTTGAAATATTATACTTGAAATATTTGGCTTTAATTAATTTCTTTAAATTCAGTTATACAATTTCCATTTGCATTATAGTACTGGGTATGTATTCTTCCCCAAAATGATTTTGTCCAAAATATATTTAAAAGAATACTTAATAAACCTTTGTTATATGTAGTCTATACAGAGAAAATGACATAATTTCTTGAAATAAAAAAGGATAATAGTATTCAAAATAAGAAAACACAAACCCCACAAGGCAGTATTTCTCACACTAGTATTGGCGGGAAAATGCTCCATAACAGACTTCTTTTTCCCCCCACATAGTTACCTTTTAATTTTTTAATGCTAAGAATACTTCAGATCTACTCTCAGCAAATTTCAAGTATATGGTACAGGATTATTAACTGTAGTCACCATGCTCAGAACATATTCATTTTTCCTGGATATCAAACTTGGTGCTTCTCAATCCAATTCTGGTACCTTGTTCCTGAACACATAGCCTCTATTCTTTCTCTACTCTGTCCCCTACAGGGACCCAAGGCAGAACCTCGAGAATCGTTCCTGGCATCCTATCTGTTACTAAGACAATACTGTTCTTAAATGTTGGTCATTATTTCTGCACTTTTTGCTCCTTTCATCACAATCAAACTTCACCGCCTTCCATCTGGACTGCTGCAGGCAGCCCCTGCCTAAGCGAACCTCGTTCATAAAGCTTCTAAATGTAAAACTGTTCACTCCACTTTCCATTTTGTTGGCATAAAGTTCAAGTTCTTTGTGCAGAGTACAGATCTTTCGTAAGTTTCACTCCTTCCCCACCTTCCTTTCTACCTCACCTGCTGAGTCTCCCTCCACTTGTGGCCATTCCCCTCCGCAGTACTGAGCCTCCCCTTGTCTGCGTCTTTTCCCCCTGTGGAACCTTTCCCCCTGGTGGAGTCGCTGGTGAGGGCTGAGTGTCAGCACTTCCCTCTGCGGTGCCTCCTGTGCCTGGGTCAGCTGCCCCTCCTCTGTCATCTTGTCACACTGTGCGTCTGCCTCTGATTACAGCAGTCTCTCGCTTCATAATGGCCACTCATTTTTTCTTATCAGTTTGTGAATTCTCCATAGAACTGGATGTCCTGAAGACAGACATGTCTTTGTGCACCTTTCTGTTTCTGGCAGTAAGCACAGCACCTGGTTCTTGAAATGGGCTTGAGGACTGTTTCCGCGATAAAGGAATGTTGATTCGTTCCATGGCCTTGCTCTCAGTATTAAGAGAAATAGTTTTACAATTCATGACTTTCATGAGTAACCAAAATCTCCCAGACTTCATCAGCTTCAAAAGCTACACTTCCCTTTAATGCCCAAATTAGCGGAACCTGAGCCTCTGTCCAATTGCCTTATAGGGATTGTTTTATTTCTCATTCGAAAGTACTTTTCGGGCCATGTCCCTTCCTGGTGGTGGCTGGCTTTCCCAGCATTAGCTGACTGCAGATCACGCTCTGTCTCTATGCTGGTCGCCCTGTACTGTCCTGAGACCATCTTTCTGCCAGCTAAGCTGTTTTTTCCTTGCACTGTGGTATTCTGTGGGCAATGGGAGAGTGCAGAACCCAAGGACTGAAGGACATGAAATAGCTGCTAGCTAGAGCTGCTCTCTCAGTCTATAGTTCCAGGCCCTCCACAGAATCCCATTTTGGGAGTTCATCTTCCTCGCCTCTGATCTAGGGAGAAGCATTGTCATAATTTAGTCAATGCGGCCTCTGCAGTCAGAATGTTTGAGTTTTAATTCTGACTCTGCCATGTATTAGCTATTAACAAGTTACTTAACCTCCTTATACCTCAGTTTTCCTTCTCTGTGAATTAAGGATAATAATGGTACCTCCCACATACTGTTAGGGTTTGGCCAGCACAGGCTGTGAAAGAACTCACACTGAGAGAAGAGATAGATGCAAAAAGAGAGTTTATTATTATACTTTCCCTGGGCCGAGGGTGAAAGGGCTAGGTGCTGTTTGGTGGCACAAGGCACCTAGGATAGGGTGGGTTGTTCTTTTTTTTTCATTTATCTCTATGGTGGTTCTTTTATTAGTGCATGAGGGAGTAAACACAGCTGGGGCAAATTGAAAAAAGTAGGGAAGAGGACTTGGGGGATTGCGTTGGAGTTTTCCAGATTCCGGAGGTTGTTTTGAGAAGTTGCAGTTTGTTTGCTTTCCAGGAGATAGTCCGGCAGATGTCCTAGGGAGGTCATGTTACCAGCATTTTCACATGGTTGTAAAACACTCAGAGTAAAAGTTACAAAGAGTTCAAAAGGGAGAGGCTTGGGCTTGAAATGGAGGGGGAATGGTACTTTCCACTAACTAGAAACTGATTTGGATTTCTCGAGTTGTTAAAAACCACAGGGAGGAAGGGATGGTGGGGGAATCTCTCTCCCTTCCTCTCTCTCTAAAATCAATAAATATATCCTTCGGTAAGGATTAAAAAAAGTGTTACTAAACATAAAGGGCATTTTATAATAGTGAAAATGTCACTCCATCAAGAGTGTGTAACAATTAAATACACTTAAAAACAGAGCTCCAAAAAACATGAGGCAAAACCTGAAAGAACTAGAGGGCAGAATAGACAATTCAATAAATAATAACTGGGGACTATAATTCCTCACTTACAACAATGGGTAGAATAACTAAGCAGATGATCAGAAAGGAAGTAAAAGCCATGAACAGCACTATAAAACAAACATGGATGTATACAGCACTCTACCAAACAACAGCAGATACATATTTTTCTTAAGTGCACATAGGACATTCTCCAGGCTACACCTCCTGGTTAGGCCATGAAACAAGCTTCAATAAATTTAAAACAACTGAAATCATTGAAAGTATATTCTACCACAATTAAGTAAAATTAGAAATCAATAGCAATAGAGGGAAATTTGGGAAATTACAAATATGAGGAAATTAAACAGCACATGCCTAAGTAATCAAAGGGGCAAAAGAATCACAAGAAAAATTAGAAAACACTTTGAGATGAAAAAACAAACACAGTATACCAAAGCTTATGTTGTACAGCTAACACAGTACCTAGAGGAAAATTTATAGCTATAAACGTCTACATTAAAATATAAGAAATCTCAAATAAGTAATCCAACTTTTCACCTTAGAAATAAACCAAACCCAAGACAAACAGGAGGAAACCTTAAAGATTAGATTGAAAGTAAATGAAATAGAGAAAAGAAAAGCAATGGATAAAGTCAACAGAATTAAAAATTGGTTCTTTGAAGAGAGCAACAACATTGAAAAAACTTAAGCCAAACTGACCAAGAAAATAATACACAAATTATTAAAATCAGGAATGAAAATGGGAACATTGCTAACAACTTTACAGAAATTAAAGACTACTGTAAGGGAATACTATGAACAACTGTATGCCAACAAATTAGAAAACCTGGATGAAATAGACAAATTTCTGGAAAGACACAAACAACTCAAACAGACTCAAGAGGAAATGGAAAACCCAAATAGATATATATAACAAGTAAAGAGACTAAATTAGTAATTTGAAATTTCTGACTAAGTAAAGCCAAGGTCAGATGGCCTCCTTAGGGAATTCTACCAAATGCTCAATGAACATTTTAATACCAATCCTTTGCAAACTCTTTAAAAAAAAAAAAGAATAGTGAATACTTTCCCACTTATTCTCTGAGGCGAGTATTATCCTATTAGCAAAATCAGACAAAGACATCACAAGAAATGAAAACTACAGACTAATTTCCCTTTTAAATATAGATGTAAAAATGCTCAATAAAATACTGGCAAACCAAATTCAGCAATATATAACAAGGGCTTTACACCATGGTCAAGTGGGATTTATCCCAAGAGTGAAAGGTTGGTCTGTCATCTGAAATTTAATTGATACAAGTGAAATAAGGCAGACATAAAAGGACAAGAACTCTATGATTTCATTCATATGTGGGATCTAAAACAAAAAACGAACAAACGAAGTAAACTCATAGACACAGACAAAATTTTGGTGGCTATAAGGAGGGAAGTGGGTGGGGGAAGATGAAGAGGGTAACGGGTCACATATGGTGAAAGCAAGGAGACTAGTCTTTTGGCTATGAACTGACAATGGAAGATACAGGTGATGTACTATAAAGTCGTACACCTAAAACTTACAAAACGTTATCGACTTTTGTTACCCCAATAAATTTAATTAAAAAAATTAGTTGATGTATATACTATATTAATAGAGTATAGGACAAAAACCACATTATTACATCAGTGAATACAGAAAAGGCATTTGACCAAATGAAACATCCTTCATAATAAAAACACTCAACAAACTAGAAATGAGAAGGAACTTCCCCAACCTGATAAAAGGCGTCTATGAAAAATCCCACAGCTGACACTATACTTAATAAAAGTAGAACGTGTTCCCCCTAAAATTGAGAACAATAGAGGATGTCTTCTCATGCCGCTTCTATTCAACCTTGTATTAGAGGTTCTAGCCAGGGTAATTAAGCAAGAAAAAGAAGTAAAAGTCATCCGGATTTTGGAAATACAGAAGTGAACTATCTTTCTTTGCAGATGAGATGATCTTGTATACAGAAAATCCTAAGAAATGCACATAGCACTGATAAATGCGTTCACCAGTGTACTAAGATACAAGACAAAAATCCGTTATATCTATGCATGAGCAATGAACAAGCCAAAAGAAAGTAATAGTGCAATTCTACATATAATAACATCAAAAAGAATAAAATACATAGAATAAATGTAATAGAAGCGTAAGATTTGTACACTGAAAATACTGTTGAAATTAAAGAAGACAAATGGAAAGATAGCCCATAGTAATAAATTTGTAAAGTAAATATTTTTATTTTTTAAAATATATCTTTACTGATTTCAAAGAGAAGAAGGGAGAGGGGGAGAGAGAAACATCAGTGATGAAAGAGTCATTGATCGGCTGCCTCCTGCACGCCCCCTACTGGGGATCAAGCCTGCAACCCAGGCATGTGCCCTGACTGGGAATCGAACCTTGATCTCCTGGATCATAGGTTGATACTTATCCACTGAGCTGGGTAAAGTAAATATTTTTAATTGGCAATACTCCTCAAATTGATCTACAGTTTCAACACAATTCTTAACAATTTCCCAGTAGGTTTTTTTGAAGAAATTGGTAAGCTAATCTTCAAATACATACAGATATACAAACCACTCAGGATAGCCCAAGCAATCTTGGGGGGAAAAGACAAATTTGGAAGACTCACACTTCCCAATTTCCAGATTTACTACAAAGCTACCATAGTCAAGACCATGTGGTGCTGGCATAACAACTGTCATGTAGACCAACAGGATAGAATTGAAAGTCTAGAAACAAACCCAAACATCTGTGACCAATTGATTTCAACAAAGGTGCCAAAACAATTCCTTGGGGAAAGAATAGTCTTTTCAACAAAGTACTGAGATAACTGAATGTCAATACAAAAAGAATGAATTTGAACCCCTGTATTATACTGCATACAAAAAAACCCCCGACAAACTAAAAATGGGTCAAAGACCTACATATAAGAATGATAACTATAAAACTTTTAGAATAAAATACAGGTATAAGTATTCATAACCTTGGACTAAGCAAGTTTCTGAGGTATGAGACCTAAAGCACAATTAACCAAAGAAAAATAGATAAATTGAATTTCAAAAAAATTAAAAACTTTTATGTGTCAAAGACTAATACTAAGAGAAAAGACCATCAACAGAATGAATAATATTGGTAAACTATCTGGCAAGAGGTTTTTATCCTAAATATGCAAACAGTACTTAAAATGCTACAACAAAAAGACAAAAGATCCCGTTTTAAAGTGGGCTAAGTATTTGAATAGACATTTCTCCAAAGAAGATACACAGATGTCCAATAAGTCCATGAAAAGATGCTCAACATCATTAGTCATCAGAAAAATGCAAATCAAAACCTCACTAAGTTACCACTTCACACTCAGTAAAATAACTAAAATGAAAGACAATATTGGTGTTCATGTGGAGAAATTAGAACCTTCATACACTTCTGGTGGGAACGTGAAATGATGAAGCTACTTGGAAAATAGTTTGGCAATTCCTCAAAAAGCGGAACATGGAGTTATCATTTGCCAGCTCCAATATATATCTACACCTAAGCTGCTACACCAGTGTTCGCTGCAGTGTTTCATAGAATAGCCAGAAAGTAGAAACAATCCAAATGTCCATCAACTGACTAATGGATACATAAAATATGATATATCCATACAGTGGAATGTTAGTTGCCCATAAAAAGTAAAGCAACAAAAAGAATTGAGGGGAGGAAAGTGCCCGGCCAGTGTGGCTCAGTTGGTCGAGTGTCATCCCACGCACCAGAAGGTTGACGGTTCAGTTCCCAGTCAGGGCACATGCCCGGATTGTGGGCTGGTCCCCAGTGTAGGAGGCAGCCGATTGGTGTTTCTCATTGATGTTTCTCTCCCTCTCCTTTCTTCTCTGAAATCAGTAAAAACAAGTTTTTTTAAAGGAATGACCTGCAGAGGGGTTTGAAGGAAACTTTTGGGATCCTGGAAAAGTTCTGTATCTTGATTGTGGATGTAATTGCCTGACTCTGTAAGTTTGTGAAAATTTATCAACTGTACACCAAGAAAGGGTTACGTGTATTGTATGTAAATTATTTCTTAATAAACAAAAAAAGCATTACAATAAATCCAAACTTAATTGAATATTAAAAAAGAGTAAGATAAAAAGAGTAAAAAGGAATGCTATAACATGGATGAACCTTGGAAACATTCTAAGTGAAAGAAAACAGACACAAAGCCTGCATGTTGTATGGTTTGGTTCCATTTCTGTGAAATACCTAGATTAGGCAGGTCTGTAGGGACAGTTTCCAGGAATTGTGGAAGGGGCGGGGGGCGGGGAAAGACTGCTAATGGGTATGGATGATGAAACTTCTGGAATCAGGTAGCAGTCATTACAGCACTCCTCTAAAGTTAGGTAGGCCTTACTCTCTGTGATGTGTAACAGAAGTTTACAGTGCTAATTATGTGCGAGCCTTGTGGTCATCCCACTGAAGCCTAATGAAGTAGGTATATTCTTTCTTCACGAGAGGAACAATCCTCGTGCATAGCGAGTTTAACCTATTCATGGCTCAGCCTTCTTTCTACGCCTCTGAAACGGGCATAATCATCTCATAAAGTTTAAGGATTAAGTGAGTTGGCGTGTGACACCATTAGTACAGTGTTGGTACATGGCACACACTAAGAATTGGAACATCGTGTTATTTGTCAGTGAATGTCATGTGATCCATATCATCACCACGTAAAAAGTCATGCTAACTTCCAGTGTATTGCAGGGTTAATGATATATAATACTCGCATTTGTTTTTCACACAGGACCCCCTGGAGTAGCTGTCCCTCCTCTTGCAGGCTACCCAGGAGGCTTGCCTATGGCATATTATGGTCTGCAGCAGCCCAGGGCCTTCCCCTACTGCCAGCCAATCTGTGGTACTCATCCCATCCAGTACCAGCCTGGCAAATATCCAGTGTCAAGCCAGCCTGCTCCAATAACGTGGATGCCAGGGACAACTCTTGTGCCCAACTGCCCTCCTGGTCTGGAATACTTAACCCAGGTACTTCACCCAAGTCCAGTTTATATTTCCTAATGAAGTATGACTGGGGATCCAACAGGAGACAGAAGGTTGAAGTGAGTGGGTAACATGGGTTAGTGATGACAGATGCCTGGTTTGTGAGACTGAGTGATGGGACTGATTTTAGAAATGTGAAAGGAGGTGACAGAGTACAGGCATGTTTCTGGTGTGATGAGTGTGGCTTTTGTGAAGGATATATGTTGAATTCTCAGACATTCATGATGCTCTGTCGAAGGCAGTTTAAAATACAGGAATACGAATATAAGAAACTCTCAAAGATGCCTGTCAGGGTGCTCTTTGCTTAGAAGTAGAGTTAACATGAAGAAAAGCAACGTAAAAAAGTAACAGAAGAGCAGACAGCGAACGAGTCACTGAGTGCCTTAGCCCGTTGCCTTTTCTCACCAACCATAGCTTTCATCATCCACGCCCCTCACCCCCCAAAACATGCAATGCAAATAAAAATAGGGGACCTCCCAAAGATAGCCCTGCAGTCCAAGTTCCAGAGAACCCCTTCCCGTAGCACAGCAACTCTGATTTCCATCTGTGTCGACATGCTGGAGCTGCCAGGACGTCCAGGTCAGAAATGGCGATATGCCGGGTTGGTGGACCAAACGGTATGTTTCAAAACCCATGCCAGAAACTGAAAAAGGTTGCGTAAGGAAAAGAAGATAAAGCTGGTGTCGGAAATCCCTTAGAAACTGCTGGGTCATGTTTCGCTTTTAGAAAAAGGAAGTGTTGAAATACATGACAAGTAAGGGACTTGATAGTTCAATCCGTGTCTTCCCATGTAGTCAACCAAATACTCCTTGAAGCTGGTATGTTTTCAATTTTGTATAAAGATAGGGACCCTGACAGTCCTCTGCATTGAAGCCACTGGTGCAGTGTCACGGTGTGGGTGCCTGGAAGTCGGTACAGCTGCATGAGGAAAATTGGGATTTTACATGAGCCAAAGTTTTTATTAAATTGTTTTGTCAAAATGACAAAATACAAAGCCAGCCATTCAGGTAAAGTGCTAGAATAGACCCCTGTATTGCTTTAGAAGCTTATGAAATGTTTACAAGTTAATCAAGTTTAGGAGGCCGTTTTTGTACTCGATAAATAACTGAAATTGTCCTTGGAAATCCAAGATCTGGAGTTACTTCTCTTTTGAAAATGTATAGCTTAAATATTGTTTATTTTAATATTAAAAAAAGTTTCTCAGTTTCTTCTATTATTCTGACTAATGTTGCATGAACATTTCATGGATTCTCTTTTCCCTTTCTTGACTGTTTTGAGTTGGGGGAAAAAAAAAATGAAAAACAAAACATGTTTGGAGCCAGGCAAACCTGGTGTTTAATTCTAGCCCTGCTGCCCCTTTACCGTACAGCCTTGAGTAAGGCTTGTAATGTACCTAACATTTTTGGCACACAGGGCCCACCCACAGAGGAAAGCCGTGTGGATTTATACTTAAAATACCTTGTATGTGAGCAGAAGTCGTGGAGCCCAGCCCGTCACCTTCATCATTTTCTTTAGCCTGGCCTTTTTGCCGTCTCCTGTGCGATCACACGGATCTTTATCAGGACTCTCAAGATTGTAGCATCCGAAGGAGCAGGGTTGTATCATTTATAGGGTATTGGTTTGGCCAGTGCCTCCACCGTTTTGTTAGAAATCTGCTTCTTAACAGCCATAGTATCTCATTGGGCAAACTTCTTAGAACCACGCTAATGGGCGTCATGTCCTTAGAAAATTTTGTTCAGCAGTAGATGCTTTTACATGCAGTGAATATTTTTACTTCTTAAGCCTAGATTTTAACATTCTAGATTTTTTAAGGGGTTGTAAGCCACCTTAGTGGCCACTTTGGATACTTTTTAAATGTTTAGACTTCTCACCTGGTTGTGTTTTCATACAAGAAAAGTTTTGATTGGAGGAAGGATTGTGTGCTCTCTCTACCCTCCGATACTCAGTCACACCACAAAACATTCACATAAGTGGTAATTTTAAATTTTCTTTATTATCACATTTGTGCATTTTTCATTAGTTAATGTATTCAACAATATTGGGTGAAATACGGCATTTCAGGCATGGGCTCAGGGATTAGGAATGATCTAATCTNCCACCTTAGTGGCCACTTTGGATACTTTTTAAATGTTTAGACTTCTCACCTGGTTGTGTTTTCATACAAGAAAAGTTTTGATTGGAGGAAGGATTGTGTGCTCTCTCTACCCTCCGATACTCAATCACACCACAAAACATTCACATAAGTTGCAATTTTAAATTTTCTTTATTATCACATTTGTGCATTTTTCATTAGTTAATGTATTCAACAATATTGGGTGAAATATGGCATTTCAGGCATGGGCTCAGGGATTAGGAATGATCTAATCTATATCATCTAAAATTGTGTAGAAATGATCAGTGTGTCTGCAAGGAGGATTTTCTCTTCTGCTAGCATGTTCCCGAGGATAACATAGTGGACCCATTAAACCGTCTCCCGTTAGAGTGATTCCTAAGTAAAGTGAGAAGTGTACTTAATGATATTCCCAGTCCCCTTTTGAAGGGATCCCACCTCAGAAGTTTCTTCCCCTTTGTCCTCATCATGTTCACATGCTTCCTGCCCTCTCAGACCCTCCCGTTATTAAAGTGTGTACCTAGGGGACGTCTTGGTGTTTAGTAGCTCCAGTGAGTGGAAGTCAGTATGTTAATCTCTCAGAAGTACCTGGCAAATGATAGAAAATCGGACAGTCCTGTGTGGAGTGGAATCCACCCTGGCTGATTCGCTCTCCCTAAGCCACTGAGAAAATTGCTTTAACTCTGGCTGGTCCATGCTAAAACGACCTGTCCGTGCCTGCCTGGGCATCTCCGGTGTGTGAGTAACACGTCAGAGACCAGTGCGTAGAAACTGAGCTAGGGACACCCTGTGTCAACCCAGCTGCTTCCAGGTGCCGTTACTGTGGTGGGAGGTGATTTTCTGATATTTTAGACAAATGTTTTAATCTTTTACAGTGGAACAGGAGGAAAGTGTTTTCCTATATCAACAGCTCTAATAACCATCTAATCAGGTGCAGATAGGCTAATTCCACTTGATCAAAATTTGTTGTATTTCACTCAATTTCAAAAATATGTTTTGGTAGTAAGAGATGAATTTTGATACCTATCTCATCAGTTTCTTTTCTAATGCTGATTTGATTTAATTCTGTTATTTCTATCCTAATTGCTTTGTTCTCTCCCAACAGCTGGACAACATACATGTTCTTCAGCATTTTGAACCTCTGGAAAGTATGTATAATTCAGTAGTGTTCAGTAGTATTTGAACCAGGTGGCAATTCGCATTATCCAGTACCTGGTTCCTCATGTATATTGATCACTTTCTAGTGATTCAAGGAGAAAAGGAGTTCCTCTTTTCAGGAAAGTAATGAAAGGAAAGATTTTGTATAACTCTCTATTCATACATCACACGTAAGCTCTGAGACTGGACAGAGATTCACATTTCACCTGGACAGCTGCCCTGGCCAGCGCCCGTCCCCGCCCCTCCATGTCACCGTCTCGTTAGTCAGCCCGGGCACCGCAGCCAGCGGTCTGCTGGGCTCTAGCCCGGTGCCCCCTTTGGGAAGTAAGAAGAAATCAGTGGTGGTGCCTGTGTGTTCTCAGGCCATTCTCACAAGGTCACTGACCCTCCCTGGACCAGCTCTGCACATTCCTTTGACCACCACATGGGCCTTTGACTTTTATGGTTCATTTTCTTATTTGCAGTTAGTATTGACCCTGATCGTCTCAGCATATTCCATGAGCTGATTAGTTTATGGTCTATTATATATAATTTCATATATATGGTTGTATAGTCGTTTTCTGAATTCAGGTACTCTAGGAATACTGTTTCAATCTTTGCTTTTCTGTGGAAAAGTTTTAAAAATCATTTTACACTGAACTTCATAATAGAAATGTTTAAAACTTTAAAAATTACTTACAAATTATTTTAATATTCTAATCCATTATATATATTTTACCTGAAATTTTATAAAAGCTATTTTGCTTTAAGCCCCTATTTTTATTTTTTTACTGAAGTGTAGTTGACATACAATATTATATTAGTTTCGACTGTACAACATAGTGATTCGACATTTATATTTCTAATGATGTGCTCACCAGAATAAGTCCTCCTGTCACCATACAGAGTTGTTACACTATGATTGACTGTTCCCTGTGCTATATGTTACATCCCCGTGACTTTTTTTGTTTTTAATAATTGGAGGTTTATATCTCTTACTCCCCTTTTTGAGGCCCCCTTTACTTCTAACTTAAGATGGTTTTCTTGTTTTACTTTTTAGTGATAACACGTTTTGAATGTAATAATAAATATGATGTTAAAAACAGCCTGGACCAGATGGTTTACACGGTAACTGAAGACACCGGGGACTTCATCAGGAACGCGTACCGGACGCTGCGGCCCTTTGTGCTCCGGGTCACTGACTGTGCGGGCCGAGAGGTCATGAAGCTGCAGAGGCCCTTCAGATGCACCTGCTGTTGCCTCTGCTGTGCCTCCACCAGGCAGGAGGTCAGGGTGGGAGCCTGACCCCCGTTTCCCCCTGCCCCGCTCTTCCCACAGGCCCTGCGCCTTCCAGGCCGCACAGGACGGGTGTTCCCTGGCTCCGCCCCTCAGAATGCAGCAGGACAGTGGGGAGGGAGGCGGCCGCGTGGCCTCACCTGAGGAAGGGAAGTCACAAAGGCCTTTGCTTGGGGTTTATGCTCTTCAGTGCTAATGGGTGGATCAAGCAAAATTATGTATTCAGTGACCACAGTTCTATGAGTTGTGTCCACTGTATTAGAAGTTTACCTGTCACCTAGAACAGGAGTCACACACATTTATCTAAATGTCCCCATATAAGCCCGGCTGGCGTGGCTCAGTGGTTGAGTGTCCACCCATGAACCAGGAGGTCACGGTTCGATTGCCGGTCAGGGCACATGCCCAGGTTGCCGGCTCGATCCCCAGCAGGGGGCGTGCAGGGGGCAGCCGATCAATGACTCTCTCTCATGGGTGTTTCTCTCTCCCTCTCCCTTCCCCTCTCTGAAATCAGTAAAAAGATATAAAAAAATAAATGTCCCCAGATAAGGTATGTGGAATGTAACCATATACTTTTAGAATTGGAAGGGACTTTAAATACTTTTACTCTTCCTACCACAACCTACACCTGCTGACGTGCCTGCTGATGGCGTTATACGTGGTAGACGGCCGTGGTCGAACCGGAAAAGAGATGTTCTGGGTTGGTTTGGTGACTGTTTACAACCTGTTTCGTCCTAGGAAAGTTGTTTGCTACAGGGAAAAGTAAAGCAGTTTTAGAGAGGTCCAAGAGGACTTGAACTTCAGGTATGCCACCTGCTTAAATTTGGATAATTTAACTTCTTTGATCCTCAGTGTTGTGCACTGGGCAGAAAAATAGCCCCTCAATTACTAGGATATTTAATGATAACTCCAGCATTTACTCTAGTAATTTCTGTACAGCCCTTCTGCACCTTGATTTATTTCCTGTAAAATGGAGATGCTAATAACACCTATCTCATGGGGTGATTGTTGTGAGGATTAAGTAATAAATGAGAATCAACTTCTTAGCACAGTGCCTGGCAAGCACAGTGCTTGCTGGATGTTAGCTAGTGCTGTCAGATACCTTTTTCTTTATCATTCCCGTGTGTGTGTGTGTGTGTGTGTGTGTATGTGTGTGTGTGTGTGTGAGTTCTATTCAGTTTTATCAGCTATGTAGATTCCTGTATCCACCACCACAATTCAAATACCAAACAGCTTTATTACTCCAAAAAACTCTTCTAGAACCACACCTCCCTCCCTTCTCTTCATTCCTAACCCCTAGCAACCGCTAATCTGTTCTCTATCTCTAGAACTGTCATTTCAAGAATGTCGTAGAAACAGATTCATACAAGTTGTGACATGTATCAACAGTTCATTCCTTTTTATAACTGAATGATATGGATTCTTTTAAAACTTATTTGTATACAGTTTTGATTTTTTTATCTCAAACCTAAACTTACATGAAATCTCAGTCCTAGGAAGCTATCATATTTGTGTTTGTATATGTGTGTGATTGTATATATATAAACTAATATCTTTTTAAAAAAATATGTCTTTATTGATTTTGGAGAGAGGAAGAAAGAGGGGGAGAGAGAGAGATAGAAACATCAATGATGAGAGTCATTGATCAGCCGCCTCCTGCACGTCCCCTGCTGGGGATTGAACCTGCAACCCGGGCATGTGCCCTGACCAGGACTCAAACCGCAGTCTCTGGGATGATAGGTCGATGCTCAACCACTGAGCCACGCCAGCTGGGTGAACAATAATATCGATTTCACAATTCATGAAGTGTGTAGTCTTGCCCTATGATGAGATGCAGGGGACACAAAATTCTTAGGAAATTATATATAACACCAGGAACATCGTCAGTAGAATTTATATTTTGGTCTTTTACCAAATAATTTAATGACTCTTGTTATTATTAAATATGAAGATCTTGGTTCTTCCCAAAGGAGCATTGTAAAGATAATTAGCTGTAAGAGAGTATTGGACATTTTAAAACTTTTAAAAATGGCTTTATATACCCATAACACATTCTGTTGTTTTCCCAGCACAGTGTCCAGAATACTTCTTTTCTGTTTTGTTTTCTATTACAATTGTCACGTCTGAGATTTAAGCCGAGGACGTTAGCTTGTCACTGTTTCTGTGGATTGGGCCAGAAGCTGTAGGACACCCGCATGCACAGCCGCCTTGGTTCCCGCGCAGAAGGCCGCAGGAGCCTGGGCCTGTTCGTGCAGGTCCCCTCGGCCCCCAGCTCCGCGGGCCCACTCGGGGGAGCCCAGAGAGGCCGCGTATGCCACCGAGGACACGGAGCTTGGGGAACTTTGTCCCAAAGGGAAGCGTGGCCTCCGCTCTCCCGGCTGCTCGCTGAAATCCGAGCCTGAGGAGTAGCCCGGGTAGAGCGGGACGTCCCGGGAGCAGCCCGCCCTCGGCTGGCTGGAGCACACCCGGGCTGCGCACCTGTGTGTGTGTAACGTCCCGTCGTGCTTCGTCCGCAGCTGGAGGTGCAGTGTCCCCCCGGCGTGACCATCGGCTTCGTCCGCGACCACTGGAACCTGTGCCGCGCCGTCTACAGCATCCAGGACGCGAGGAGGGAGGCCGCGCTGCGGGTGCGGGGGCCCTGCTCCACCTACGGCTGCGGCGCGGACTCCGTGTTCCAGGTGCGCAGCCCCAGGAGCGCTTCCCTGCTCCCGCCTGCCCGCAGGCTTCACAGTGACGGGTTTAGATCACTTTCTTGAGAACCAGTAAATTGGTGTGAGCGGTTGACCGGTTGATGCTATATGATTTTTAGATTATGGCTAGTGGGTCGCTTAATGTTTTCCAAAATGTGAGCTTTTTTTTTTTTTTTTTTTATGATTTTAGTGTTTGGTAAAGATAAGAGAGACCATTAAAACATTAATCCTGAGAGTAAGTAGCCTGATATAAATCTATTTATCTTATTCTTGGTTGTATTTAGTTAATTGCTTTTTACCAAAGATTTCCAGGATCAGAAACTCCATCCTGAGTAAGGGAAGTGCCCATCTTATCACAGATCGTGTGGCACCCCTGAGCTGAGCACATTGCTCTTTTGCAGGATAGAAGTCTGTGTCCTCAGGACATAGGGGAATGCTGATAACATGAATCAAACTCATAGTTATAACATTTTCTCAGGAAAAAGAAAAATCCTTTTGTTTTGCCTTTATCTCAGTGAATAAAAATGCTTGCTTATAATCCTCTGAATCTGACAAAGATTCCTAGAAATATTCCCTGAGCTTCTTAGAGCCTTTCCTGAGCACCTTGCAATTCAGCAGACTCATCGTCTAAAGTGCTCTTCCCAGTGTTGCCTGTGACACCCAGTAAACTTCCTTAGTTCTCAGTTTCTGTCACCATGTCAGTAAGCATTGCTCATTTTTTGAAAGACCATATAGAGAGAGAGAAAATATAGATAAGCCAGATTTTAGGGGCAGGATGCGTGGGACCATTCTGATCACCTAGAGTCAGTATCTGAGTGGTTTCCCTCTGGCAAGTGCCAGGGTTCCCCTTTCTGAAGCAGAAGTCCTTTGGGATCCTGGCATAATTTAAGGAGACAGGGTCAATTTGTTTGGCACACAGAAGCTTCGGCGATTATATGGAGTTTGTTGATGGGCATGGAACCATGCATCATTGCTTATGTGTTTCCCTAGGCTGGAAGAAATTCCCTTCTAGCCCCCAATTCCCACCCTTTGCTATGTGGAGAAGACCCTCAAAAAAACAACCTCCCTAATAACTCCCTTGAGGACGAAGCCAGAGCACTGGCTGAGAAGTGTAAGATACACAGCATTCCAGCTCAGTTATCAACCGGTTACAAGGCACTGAATCCTCTTGGCCATAATTTCCTATTTGAAATTGTTATTTATTAACATTTTATTCATCTCCTGCACTGTATTTAAGCTCAGTGAAGCTGCTTCTACGTAGAAGAATAAAACATGTCTTACAATATTTTCCCGTTTTCATAAAGGCAGCCTCTTATCCTCCTAGGTGACGTCCCTGGACGGTGCCTCCAGCGTCGGCAGCATCATTAGGAAGTGGAACGGTTTGATGTCAGCCATGGGCCAGGCTGACCACTTCGACATTCGCTTCCCCTTGGACCTGGATGTGAAGATGAAAGCTATGATTTTTGGAGCTTGCTTCCTCATTGTAAGCCTTTTGCTTTTGCGTTATCTTGAGAGAATTATTATTTCTGATGAGAAGCAGTGTAGTAGAAAGGCAATAGCTTTGAAACTAGACCAGTTTCTGTCTCTACCACTTACTGGTTACATGTTTTGTAAAGTGTTTAGCACTTGCAAGCCTCAGTCTCCTCATGTGTAAAATGGAGATAAAATACTGATATTTTCAGGGTTATAAATGCTAGCTACCATATGAATAAAGGGGCAGGAGAGTGCTTGAAAGATATTAGGCATCCAATGGGGTCATTATTGCATGTTATGGATTATTTTTACTACTTAAAAAATCCTGTCCTGTGACTTTTTAATGAAATAAAATAACTCTAAAACGGATATCCCTCTCCTCCACCTTCCTGCCTCTCCAGTGAGCTTCTTGGCGCTATACCGTCCTTAGATCTAGCAGGTGCAATCCCCTTGCTGTATTTCTGACTAGTGGTTAATAGTCGTAAGTAAAGCATAGAAATAAAATTGATAATATTTACCCTAAAGAGCTCACTAACATATTGCAGTTGGTATATTTAACATATTTAATATTGATTATCAAGTTTTTTCCCTTTAACAATAAAAATTTAGCTAATTAGTATCCCAAATGGAAAACATATTGGCTACCAACAATTTTAAGTATGTAATTGCTGCTTTTTATATTCGGTCCTCTTTATAAAGATTTATTAGATTTATTTCTTAACTGGCTTGGGAAGATTGCCAGATAAATTATAAAGGATGATATTTTATGCATTACATCAAATTATTTATATATATATATATATATATATATATAATTTTCTCTCTCTCTCTTTTTCAGGACTTCATGTATTTTGAAAGATCTCCACACCAAAATAGAAGATAGACACTGCAAATCAGCAATTACGGTTTTTAAAAAAATGTAGAAAAGCTGGGTTGGAGTTACAGTCAACCCTCAATTATTTGCAGATGTATTTATCTGCTTTTGCAGACTGCTTTTATTTGGTGTTAGCCTTGACAGGTAGCCTGAGAGTGTAAGAACACAATCTGATGTGTGTTTCAATTGAGTATCTGTCTCATCTGTGTGGTAGACGAATTCATCCTGAAAAAGCTATGACTCATTAACCAAGTAAATGTATATATGAGGAGGTTGAAAACACTTTAATATGAGATGGGGGAAGTGAACCCCAGAGCCCTCACATTAATAGGTAACACTGTTCATCAGCATGTCCTCTCACCAAAGACAACTTTGATCCGAGGTGGAAAGGATGACACTCTTCATCTTTAAAAAGAAAAAGAAAGGCAGACAGAAATATTTTATCTTACTGTACAAGGAGCATTTTACTTGTGCACATGTATCAAAGCCTCATTTTGCAAAATTTACAGATGTTTCAATGGAAAATTTGATTTTATTATAAAAATTTTTATCGTAAGGTTTATGTTTCCCATGCCTGTTCCCTCGTTTGCATGGACAGTCAGCAGCTGTCACACATATGAAGACCAGGTCGGACACTCAGGAAAGAAGGGGACCAGGGCCACAGCCACTCTCGAGCTCTTAGCAACTTAGAGGCATCAGTGCCCTTATAAAAGCTTGCGTTTAATACATCTAACCACTCTTGGTCACAGATGCCTTATATATAAAATATTTTTGTCCAAATTTCTAAGATTGCCTATTGAACCTTCGTATCTCCTTTGATGTAACACAGAAGATACAAGTTTTTTTCTTTTTAGAAGATCCCTATAAAAAGGGGGAGGCATCTATAATACTTTCAACAATAAAGATAAATTAAAAAAAAAAAAAAGATCCCTGATAATCACTGTGCTGTTTTATTGGCAGGAGTTGGAGTTTTGTTTTCAAATTTTAAAATGTGACAGTCTGTGTAGCACTTTGTAAAAGCAAGGACTATGAATTCTGACTCTGCTTACTATTTTGCTTTGCTGCTTTTTAAATAATAGATAAATCTGTATCTATGCAAAGATAAGAAAATAGTAAGCATTCTACAGATTACATAGGATCAGTACAGATTATATAAGATCAACATAAGGTATAGATTGTACTTGTTTGTATTAACTAACAGCACCGTGTGTCAGTGACTACACTCTGATAAACCCACTTGCTTCTAGTGCACTCTAGCTTCCTGCCTGGACCTGGACTGTGTGTTTTTTAACACAGTCAGTGTGTAGAGTGGAATGTGTTCTTCTCCTTATTAAACAGCCAGCTGAGTGTCCTTAGATTTGGTGGTTCTGAGACAAGGGCTTTCACCCACAGTTCTTGTTGAAGTGAAAGAAGGCTGCCTCACTTTTTAATTATATTCATCTTTTCATGGCAAAAACTGTCAACTCAGTTTCTTGTAACATTCATTTTTATGCATGACTACTAGCTTTTTAAAAAAATGTAAAAGCTGCTGCTTTCTAAAATACTAATTACCTTGTATTTGAAATGCAGTTCTCTTAGATATATATACTATTCTTTGTAATAAGGCCTAACATTTTCTATAGAAAATCAGAATATTCAATATATTCAGAAAATTTATCTACATTTTTACTTGCCTACATCGAGACCTGCTGCATGCCCTGGCCAGGTGGCCCAGTTGGTTGGAGCGCTGTCCTGTACACCAAAAGGTGGTGGGTCCAATTCCCGGTCGGGGCACATACCTTCATTGTGGGTTGCAGGTGGCCACTGATCGGTGTTTCTTTCTCACATCGTTTCTCTCTCTCTTCCTCTCTCTCCCCCCTTTCTCTCCCTTAAAAAAAATCAATAAAATAATTTTTTAAAAATGACCTGCTGCATAATACTAAAAAAAAAATTATTTTTAGCATATGACATTTAAAATTTTTGTTTAAAGTTTTTGTGGTATTAAAATGTCTTTTATAGTTATAATTCCTCTTTCTTTAACACGATACTATGCATCTTATATTTTTATACTACAGTTCATATTTTCTATATTTCTTAATGCTATTTCATTGTGCTAAATAGGTCAGATTCATTTTTAAAAGTATTCTCTAAAATGTTCATTTTCTTGCTTCATATTGTTTTTGGATTTTAAATAAAGTATGGCTTATAATAAAATACTGTTTTATTTTTTGACTTGTGATTGAGCCTTTGCTATACACTGAATGTTTGTATTCCCTCCAAAATTTCTGAATTACCCAATGTGATGGAATTTGGAGGTAGGCCCTTTGGGGGAGTGATAGGTCATGTGGGTGGAGCCCTCGTGAATTCGATTAGTGCCCTTAGAATCTGCCAGCATCTTGATCTTGGACTTACCAGCCTCCAGAACTGTGAGAAATAACAGTTTGTTGTTGAAGCCATCAGTCCATGGTATTTTTGTTACAGCAGCCCAAGTGGGTTAAGATAGGAATTGGTACTGAGAAGAGAGGTGCTGCTGTAACAAATACCTAAAAATGTGAAAATGGGTTACAGGAGGAGACTGGAGGAGCCCTGAGGTGCATTCTAGAAAAAGCCTAGATCACCGTGATCAGAATTTCAAAGATGATTCTGGTGAGAGCTAAGAGAGGAGAGAGGACAGCTGTAGCTAAAGCCTCAATCTTAGAGAACACCGCGGTGATCCTGAACAGAATGTGGCTAGAAATATGGGTGGTGAAGGCCATTTGATGAGGTAGGTGGAAATGAGAAACAGATTGTTGGAAACTGGAGGAGGAACAATCCTTGTTATAAAGCAGCAAAGAACCTGGCTGAACTGTGTGTGTATTATTTTGTGGAAGGTAGAACTTGCAAGCAATGAAACTGGGTTATTTAGCTGAAGCAAGTTCTAAACGGTGAAGGGGCCGCTTGGCTCCCCCTGACTGAATGTAGTAAACCGCGAGCAGAGAGAAATGACTGAAAGACAGGAGTTGTTAAACAAAAAGAAGCAGGATTTAAAGATTTGGAAAATTCTTGGCCTATTTATTGTAAATCATGACAACACCGAGGGTGTGGCCAAGAAGATTAATGTGGATCTGCATTCTCGGAAGCCCGGGGCTGTTCTCCAAGACAATGGAAGAATGCCCCAAGGCGGTTTAGTGATCAACAGAGCTGCCGCCCTCAATAGTCCCCAGTTCAAAGGCCTGGCAGCGGGCAGTTCAAACAGGCCGCCAGCACCTAGGGGACCCCTGCATGCTGCTGGTGCTCCTCAGGGGGCGGTTCTGCTCCCTGCACTCTGCTGCATGCCCTTCTGTACCCCAGATGCGGCTCTGCTGGGCCGGTGTGGCACAGGCTTCAGCGGCCGCCCCTCCAGAGGGCGCGAGCAGCAAACTTGGGCTGTGTTCTTGTGGCCTGTTCGCCACTGGAGTGCAGAGTGCACGGGCCACGTGGTTATGGCTGTGTCTACCTGGATTCCAAAGGACGGATATGGGAGAGCCTCACGCTCAGAGCCCCAGCCCTGGAGAGCCCAGGGTCTAGGCTTAGAGTCTGTGGGGGTCGTTCTGCCCAGCCCTGTGGGTGATATGGCCGCCTAGTGGGCCTAGAAGGCAAAGATTGTTCTTCAGCCTTGAGATTTAATCTTGCTTGTCCTGTTTGGTCTTGGATTTACCTGGGACCTTTCACTCCTTTCCTGTTTCTCCCTTTTGGAATGAGAATGTCTGTTCTTTGCCTGTCCCACCCTTGTATTTTGGAAACACCTCATTTGTTTGGTTTCACAGGTTCACAGCTAGAGAGCAGTTTGCCTTAGGATGAGTCACACCTTGAGTCTCACCCATGTCTGATTTAGATGATATACAGGGTGTCCCCAAAGATCTAGACACACCTGTTAGCTCAATTTTAAAATTAAATGTATTTTAATAAGCACCGCCTTTATAATTATGCAAAGTGTGTGTATACATTTTTTTGGGATGCCCTATATATGAGACTTTGGACAGACTTTTGAGTTGTTATTAAAACAAGTTACTGTACTTTTTGACTGTTAAAATGTGTCAACATAAGAGACATTCAAACCTTTAGAGAATTTTTATGAGTTTATTTGAGCCAAACTGCCGACAACTGCCAGGAAGCAAAACCTTGATGAATTGAGAAAATGCTCTGGAAAATGGCCCGATCTGCACCGTGTTTTATGTATTACATTTTAAGATTTTGGCCTAGGACATGACTGCCTGCCATAAACTGCTTTTTTTAAAGAAGTTTTCATTTCAGACCATCCTATGTGGTTACTTTATGTCCCTGAGTGTAAGGCCACCGCGCAGGGCTCCTCTGAGCTTGTCAGGTTTAGTTTGCAGTCCCCTTTTTATCCACAGATGAAATGAGTGTCTCTCACATGTGAGAAGAGCATGAGTTTTGCCCTGAGCCGGGGTGGAATACTATAGACTGAATGTGTGTCCTACCTACCCAAATTCATATGTTGAAATCTACCCTCAATGTGATGGGTATTTGATGGTGAGGCCGTTAGGTGGTGATTGCATCATGAGATTGGAGTCCCTGTGGAAGCAATTAGGGCCCTTGTCAAAGAGAACCCAGGAAGCCCCCTCTGCCCTCTGCCATGTGAGGACACACTGAGGAGACAGCCGTCTATGAACCAGGAATCGGCCAGGGTCTGGATCTTGGACTTCCAGAGCTCTTAGAAATAAATTTCCATTGTTTATAACCCCCAGTCATAAAAGCAAAAATGCACTAAGACAGTCTTTGAATATTTTTTTCAAAGGGACTTTTGAACTGTCTTTTATTATATCAGGTTCATTTAGGGTTCTTGCTTTCTTATATAAGTTTAATAAAATAAATTCATTTCTGTAGTATGGCATAGTAGTAACTAGCTTTCATATATAAATGTTATTTATAAATGCCTATTTCTAACCCACTTATTTAGAACACATTTAAATTTTAATTATGATTTCAGAGCAAGTATATCATGGAGGAAAGCTGCTAGAATTTGTAATGTCAGTGAAGGATGCATTTTAAAACGATTTCTTCTTAATGACCAGATTTCACAGAAATTATACAAAGAGCTGGTTACCAGCCTAATTTACTAGCTGAATTTTTAACAAACTAGATGTTAATTTTAAGTTCAAGTATAGAATAAGCAGTGGTTCCAGGAAATAGCATCCGACAGGTGTTGGGGCAGCTGGCTACTTTTCAGTACGCCCCACCCTGCAAGTGTTCAAGGTTTAATTTAATTTATATTGAAAGATTCAAGCTTGGGAAACCCATAAGTCTGGATTTATTAAACAAATACCACATTCAGCTTTTTGGCTCGTGATAGCTAATGTTCTAAATGGATCTTTTCCCATAACTTGGTTGACTTACGCAGAATGCATTTCCCATTTGTCCCTAGGCCTCTTAAATAGTAAATCCCAGGAAAGAGAAAAGCAGAATGCTCCATTCCAAGCACAGCCAAGGTGAGGCAGCATAGTGTGTGCACTACATGATGACACTTTGCATGGTTAATAAAATCACAGAGCAGGCATTCGTTCACTCAGTATCTGCCTAATGAATAACTACATCCTATGGAGATATTTTTGAAAAATTTGTTATAGTAGCCAGTTAAAAATTTTGTTATCAGAAAATTATTCAAGTAGAATTTCTCCATTGCTAGTGGGTGTGGGGTTTGGGGGCGTCGCTGGAATAAGAATTTCCAGAGGACCCCACAGGAGGATGAGATGTGGTAGAAAGTTTTATTCGCATGGAATTATATCCCCTGGTTTTCAAAGTCCCATGTCCTTTAACCCAGTCCTGGAAAAGGTGCAGTGGGGGATTCAGGAGTGTTAAAAGCAAAGCCAGTGTCCAGAGTTTCTGTTCCATGGTGGAGCTGAGTCCAGCAGAGCATCAGGCTAATTCCAGTCCATCAGTCCATTGTGTGAGGGGTCCACATAGCTGTGGGCCATGTGGGGGAAAGCAGGGGAGTGTGCCTCCTACAACAAGAGAGCCAGGAGCGCAAGAGAGTTCCCAAGGGAGGGAACTCCCCTTGTTCAGGAGCCTATGTATCAGATTTCACCCCTTGAAG